ATATATTACTTTATCAAAATTTTAACCTATTTATAAAGCTTAGTAAATATTTTAATATTTTTATAAACTATTAATAAGGTTTAATGATGATTTTATAAGCTTTTGTTTGCTATTTCTTAGGATGGAATAATATATGATTTTTTATTGATATTACAAAGTAAAGCGATAAAGCTTTATAAAGGAGGAAACACATACAATTTTCTTATATTAATATTGTCAAATATCAAATAATTAATATTTCTAAGTTATATAAAGTTGTAGATAGGGTTGAGGATATTTAATTAGTTTAGAAATTCAGAATTGTTATTTAAAATATGGCAAGGGCTTTTTCTTCTCTTTAAACAATTTCAGTTTGATTCGTACTTTTTTTTCTGCTTCAGAAGAAATAATGTAAGATTATTTTTCTTCTTTTTAATTTCTGAACCAGTATGTTAGAGCATCTCCATTTAGGGTTTTACACAGGTTCATGGGCTGAGGTTCATCACTTTTTAAATTAAAAAAAATAGAAAGAAATGGGCCTTTTGCGTGAACCGGTTCATGGGCGTGATCCCGTATGATATGGGTTCATCACACGTGTCACTCTCTTATTGGGAACGCGTATTACGCGTTGATGAAGCAGAAACACGGGTTCGCGAAGGTTCATTTCATTTTCTCTCCTTTCTCGAAAAGTTAGGGTTTCTCGCTCTCAAGGCGATTCAATTGCGACGCTGAGTTACTGGAGAAATTCTCCATCGAATCGACGAGTTTCTGCGTTGTAGACGACATCAGGTTAGCTACCTGACAGTGCAAGTAGCTAACCTGGAGAAAATATGCTTCGAATGAACAGCCAAGGTAACAGTCTAAGCTGAAACCTTTTTTTAATGTATTTGTCTGAACCCCAACTAGCCTAACTGTTTTTTGTAAACTAGAACTGAAAAAATAAACGAAACCTCTTAAAGTAAAGTAAAGTAGAACTAGAACTGGTTGTAGTAAACTAGAACTACAACTAGAAGTAGAACTGGTTGTAGTAAACTAGAACTACAACTAGAAGTAGAACTAGCATCACTTATACTTAAATAAAATTACAGTTAAAGAATATAATAGCAAACACCCTTATACTGATTTGATGTTTAACTGTGACTTTTTAATCAATGCTCACTGTCGTTGTGGTTGTGCAGTTAAGCTAAGTTTTTTAAACTAGAAGTACAACTTTGAAAAGTTATCTAAAGTAGACTATAAAGTAGTAGTTGTTCGACTGTAATCAATGCTGCATGTTGTCGTTGTGTAATTAACTATAACTTAAAGTAGATGTTGTTCGATTAGAAGTAGAAGTAGAAGTAGCAGATATTCGATTTGATGTGTATTGATTGCTCACTGTGAATGTTGTTGTGCAATTAAGAGAGTTTGTTTCAATTGTTCTCTCTAAGCCAAAACTTGTTTTAAATAGATAGCAAATCTAACTGAATGTAAAACACACCACCCAAAAACCAAAATGGATCCTTATTCCTTCAACTCTCCCGGGTTTGTTAACCTTCTAACATCCCAAAGCAGTCAAACGATAGACTTAGAATCTCCAGAGCTTCCTAGGTTTAGCAGTCAAAGCTCCGAAGATCCTAAACCCGTATGCAAGCGAAAATGGACAAAAAAAGAAGATATTGTGCTGATAAGTGCGTGGCTAAATACGAGCAAAGACCCCATCGTCAGCAACGAGCAGAAGGCAGTCTCGTTTTGGAAGCGCATAGAGGAATATTTCAATGCAAGCCCTCTGCTAAATGACTTAACTCCTAGAGAGTTAAGTCAATGTAAGCAGAGGTGGGGAAGAATCAATGAACAGGTGTGTAAGTTTGTGGGAAGCTATGAGGCCGCGGTGAAGGATGTAGGAAGTGGCACAAATGAAGTTGATGTCATGAAAGCAGCACATTCCATTTTCACCAATGACTACAACGCTACGTTCGCTATGGAACATGCCTGGAGAGAGCTAAGGTATGATCAGAAATGGAGATCAAACTCTCTACCCCGAGATGGTGCAAAGGAGAAAAGAAAGGAGCCTGTGGAGGAGGTGCCTGATCTGGAGGAAGTTCGACCTCCTGGTGTGAAAGCGGCCAAGGCCTCTGCTAAACGTAAAAAGCATGGAAAAGAAGCCGCATATGATCAACTTCAGAGCATGCTTCTGATGAAGGACAACATATCCAAAAGAAAACTCTTGGAACGCCTCCTTGCCCAAAAGGATGACCTATCTGAGCTAGAATTGTCTCTAAAAAACAAAATTCTTTCTGAAATGGTTTGATCTGGTCAGTGGTTTAGCATTGATTGAGTTATGTTTTCTGCTTAAGTTAATTGCTTGAGTTGCTTGATTTAGTTGCTTCTATCTGTTTTTGATTAAGTTAATTGAGTTGCTTTTGTTAAGTTTGTTTATTTTGTTATTCTGTTTTGTTGTGGAGTTTGTTTACTTATCTTCTTTTGCGTTAACTCACATGCTGATATCTTTTGTTGCTTTTCAGGTCACGGTGGACATTGTAGAAACAACTTGTGTCTTCAGCATCTTTTACTCAAGTTTATTGTCGGTTTGTGTCACGGAAAGTACTTGTTTTCTTTCACGGATGTAGTTGTACTTGTTTTCTTTCACGGATGTAGATGTCTTTTGGTTGGTATCTCCACGACTTTTATGTAATCTCTAGGACTATATATGATGTATCTCTATTTCAAGCAAACCATGTCTCTGTAATGTTTTATGAACTCTAGTTATAAAAAACCATGTCTCTCTTTTAAACCATTGTTTTTCTTTGCCATTGTCTCTTCCCCATTCTCTCTCTTTGGGACTTGTTTGTTCCAAACCATCACGAAAAATATATGCCAAACCATGTATCTCTTTTCTAATATCATTATGATCCAAACCATGTCTCTCTTTTAAAACATTGTTTTTCTTTTCCATTGTCTCTCTTTCCCATTCTCTCTCTTTCAGACTTGTATGATCCAAAACCATAATCTTTTTTTTAAAAAATGTCTTCATCATCGTCCAGTGCCATAGATGAGCAGTTAGACGAAGCTCTTGATGAAATGTTTGAATAAGAATTTGATCAATATTTCGATCAGACCCTGGCCTCACTAACCGGTGTTCGAGTCAACCAACCGAGAAGACGAGCTTATATCGAAAGAGATCGCGAGCAAGGTCACAATCAACTATGGAATGACTATTTCAAAGAACAATCTACATACCAACCAGAGATGTTTAGACGACGTTTTCGTATGAACAAGCTATTGTTCGTCCGCATTGTCGATCGCCTCGGTGATGAAGTTCCATATTTTCAGCAGAGAAGAAATGCTCACGAAAGATACGGCCTATCTGCACTTCAAAAGTGTACGGCAGCTATACGTATGCTGGCATATGGTCAAGCGGGAGATACGTATGACGAATATCTCCGACTTGGTGAGAGTACTGCACTTGAATGTTTGGATAATTTCACTACTGCGATAATACAATTGTTCGGTGATGAGTATCTAAGAAGACCTACCCGGGAAGATCTTCGACGATTACTTGATGTCAGCGAGGTACGCAGGTTTCAAGGGATGATAGGCAGCATCGACTGTATGCATTGGAAGTGGAAAAACTGCCCAACGGCTTGGAGAGGTCAGTACACCCGTGGTTCAGGAAAGCCGACAATTGTCTTAGAGGCTGTGGCATCCCATGATCTTTGGATATGGCACGCATTTTTCGGATCTCCAGGTACTCTCAACGATATTAATGTCCTTGATCGCTCACCGGTTTTTGATGATATTTTACAAGGTCACGCTCCTAAAGTTAAATTCAAGGTCAACGGCAACAATTATCATATGGCGTACTACCTTACGGATGGAATTTATCCAAAGTGGTCAACATTTATCCAATCCATCCCACTTCCTCAAACTCCTAAAGTCGAGTTATTTGCTGAACGTCAAGAATCCGTCAGAAAAGATGTCGAACGTGCTTTTGGAGTCTTGCAAGCTAGGTTTGCAATTGTGAAAAATCCGGCTCTACAATGGGACAAACAGAAGATAGGGAGGATTATGCGAGCTTGTGTCATACTACACAATATGATAGTAGAGAACGAACGAGACGGGTACACTCAATTTGATACATCTGACTTCGTATCAGGAGAGACAAGCAGGGGTTCTCAGGTTGATTTCTCGTACTCTACGGACACCCCTTCCCATATCGGTAATATGCTTGAGATTCGCAATCAAATCCGGGATCAACAAGTACATGCTCGTTTGCAAGCTGATTTAGTTGAAAATATATGGCAAAAATTCGGTAATCAAGATGAATAATCTATGTTTGTTTATGAATAAAAACTTTTTTAAAAAATGTATGCTTATCAATTCTCAATGTATTAAATAAAAACTTTTATAAAAATGTATGTTTATCAATTTTCAATGTATTGAATTAAACTTTAAAATATGGGTAAAAAACGGTTCTTTTGTTTTTCTTATGTTGCTCCACTATTTTTAATCATTTGTGTATGAACCATTATATATTTTTGTGTTGTATCATTAATGTATGAATGAGAGTAAAAGGTAAATGGTACACTTTTTGTGTATGACCCACTATTTTTGAGAGATTTACGGTGTAAGTCACATTATGAGTTTTGCTATCACAATAGGGCATTTTGTGCTATTAAGACACATTTTAGGTGGTTAAATACAATATTATCCTTGGTAAATTTTTCTTTTAATTTTTACGAGAAGTTTGGTAACTTCAGCACTGAATTAGAGAGTTCTAACCTGATGGCTTGGGGCAAAAGGTGCATGCAGCGAGAGTGTGGCTATGTTTTGCTCATTTAAATTGCCTTCACTGTTATTGTTCTATTTAGCTCTGTATGTTGTGATTTCTTGTTCGTATCAATCCACATTTTTTCTTTCAATAGGTACTATTTAAAAAAAGGTATAAAGCTACAATTATAAACTCTGTAAAACTAGTTAAAGAAATTTATAAAGTACAACAAATAAATTTTTTTAAACGGTAACTAACCAAACAGATTTAATATTTCTGAATGATACTGCCAACCTTATAAATAATCAAACTCCTCACCAAAACATAGAGAAAGCAAAATAGAATATTTGTGAGCTTCACGGATTGCACCAATGGCGGACGAGGTGATCCTTCTGAACTTCTGGCCAAGCATGTTCGGAACAAGGACGAAGATCGCCTTGAAGGAGAAAGGAGTGAAGTATGAGTACATAGAAGAAGGCCTTATCACTAACAAAAGTCCCTTGCTTCTTGAAACGAATCCGGTTCACAAGAAGATCCCGGTTCTCATCCATAAAGGTAAACCGGTTTGTGAATCTATCATCCAGGTCCAGTACATCGACGAGATCTGGTCCGACAAGAACCCACTCCTTCCTCCTGATCCTTACAAGAGAGCTCAAGCTTTGTTATGGGCCGACTTCATCGACAAGAAGGTATAACAACATGTGTCTTTTGATATTGACTTTGAAAGTGAAACATTTCTACGAGTTTTTGTTTTTTGCTTGCAATAAAATTGTGTTACTTGTGGCACAAGGATCATTTGTATGTTTGTGGAAAAAAAGATTTGGTCTGAGGAACAAGAAGCGGCTACGAAGGAGTTTATTGAGATACTCAGCACTCTTCAAACCGAGCTCGGAGATAAACCTTACTTTGGTAGCGATACATTCGGTTTTGTAGACATTATCCTGATTGGATTCTACAGTTGGTTTCCAGCGCGTATCAGAAGTTTGGTAACTTCAGAACTGATAAGAGTGTTCTAAACTGATGGACTGGGGAAAGAGGTGCATGGAGAGAGAGAGTGTTGCTACGTCTTTGCCTGATCCTGAGAATGTTGTTGGATTCGTCTTACAGCTCAAGAAGCTATGGGGTTTTGAGTAAGATAAGAGTTTAGCTTTTTTGGAATGTTGTGTGTTTCTAATAATACAGATCGTGTCTGTAAAATGGGAGTTTTCTTCTATGATGTTTAGCTCTTTAATGATTTGTCTATAAGCTCCAACGTTGACTTCTTTGAGAGAGAAACTTTGAGATCTTAACTCATAAGTATAGTGACGTAAGCAGTGGCCTAAGCACTTTGTAAAACCTAATATAAAATTTCAATTCTTGTTGAATTCAATTAACAATAGTTGTTGACAAAAGAAAAATTATCTCTATAACAGAGGATATAAAAATGATGTGACATAGCGCGCCACAAAGCACTTAAGTTTTGTTTCTTAAATCTTGATTTTTTTTCAAGACTAAGCAATGGCGGATGAGGTGATCCTTCTAGATTTCTGGCCAAGCCCATTCGGTGTAAGAGCGAGGATCGCACTGAGAGAGAAAGGAGTTGAGTTTGAGTACAGAGAAGAGAATCTGAGGGACAAGAGCCCCTTGCTTCTCCAGATGAATCCGGTTCACAAGAAGATTCCTGTTCTGATCCATAACGGTAAACCGGTTTGTGAATCCATGAACGTAGTCCAGTACATCGATGAGGTCTGGTCCGATCAGAACCCATTACTCCCTTCAAATCCTTACCAAAGAGCTCAAGCCAGATTCTGGGTCGATTTCATCGATACCAAGGTACGTACCAATTCACATGTCCGGTTCCGAGAATAGCCATAGGAACCGGTCGCTTAGAGCATCACAATTTTATGCAAGAATGTTAATTACATGTAAGATTATGAAAACGTTATACAAAAACTAAGGGTTAAACTTTTATTTTAACTTAAAAAAGGTCTGTGACAAAAAGATATAAAATTAAAAAGGATTTAAAATGTTAGACCGGCACTACCTATCCAAATTCTAGTTCTGTTGTTTTTGAGACAATATGTGAAGTTAAGACCAGTTTGGTTCTGTAGGTTTTCGAGCCAGCGGATAAGATATGGTCAACAAAAGGTGAGGTACAAGAGAAGGCCAAGAAAGAGTATATTGAAGCACTCAAGATTCTTGAAACTGAGCTTGGAGACAAAACCTTCTTTGGAGGAGATACCTTTGGGTTCGTAGACATTGCCATGACTGGTTATTACATGTGGTTCGAAGCATCTGAGAAATGCGGCAACTTCAGCATCGAACCAGAGTGTCCTATACTTATGGCTTCAGCCAAGAGATGTTTACAGAGAGACAGCGTTGTTAAATCCCTCCCTGACCCGGAGAAGATTGTTGAGTTCGCCTTTAAGATCCGGAAGATATATTGTGTCTGATGCGCTATCTAGTTGCCACCATTGGTTTGTGAATTTGATTCCATCTCACGTTCTGTGTTCTCTGTTTAGTTCTTGTTTATGTCTTTATCAGTTTTGAATAATATTCACATTCCTTGTCGCTCAAGAATAGGGTTCCTCAATCTAGACGAGGTCCATTTATTCTTTTCTTTTGTAAGAAATCATATGGAAGTGCGAAAGTTTATGCAGTGTGATGTAACAGAGAATTTTGAAGATTAGATGTTAAAGGGTTCAAATGTTTAAATCTCAGTAGTGGTATTTTTTTAGGGCTTGGTGTGAATATCGGTTCGATTACTTTTGAGAACTAAATTATCGCTATTTTATCAGTAAGAGTTTAGACTTCAGCCCAATTGATTTATATGATGGGCCGTAACAGATTATCTCGATTCACCCCATAGCATTAGTCGGTAGGTATTACAAACTCGAGTCAGATAGTATAGTATGCTTTCAAGCTAGTCCACTCTGTAGCACTAAATGCGTTTCTCTCGAGACCAACAAAGTCAGCCTATAGAGTTCATCAAGAAAAAAAAATCCTGATATGAGGGGATTGCTCCAAATGATAACTACTTCAATATAGTGTGGGACTCGATTGGATGTACGGGTTCACAACCCAAAACCTCATAGTCATTTAAAATCTTCTTTTCACTTTGGTTTGTGAATGATTCTATAATCCCCATAGCTATGTAAGACATGTGGCTAAAAGCCTCACACACTCGCTCTCTCGATCTGTTGACCTCATTCATGCAACGGGCGATAGCGTTAACTTTTTAAAGATTTAATAGTCTTGTTTACTGACTCTCCAATCATAATATGATTTTTTGGGTGTTTTGATCTCATTCACACGATATCGGTAAATCACTTCCCGATAGATCACTCATTCTTCTAATATTCCAGCCCAGCCCAAACACGTTTCACTCTAGAAGTTGTTAACGAATGTGTAACAAAAAAAGATAAATGTGTTCTAGTAACATAGATAACCAAATAATTCTTTTTAACTCTTTTCATATACCACAAACTGAGAAATATTACAGATTTTATCTCATGTTTTGTGTTCTTTGTTTTATCTTTCTTTACCAAAGAATATTAGTTTCTTGTGACTTGAGAATATGCTTCTAAGTCCATTTCTATAAAAGTTGTAAATGAGAAAAGCTTATGGAGAATTCGATTTCAAAATCAATGTTCTTGGCTCTATAATTACCAAAATTTTCTTCTTAACCAGGAGCTAAAAATGGCTGAAGAGGTTATACTGTTGGACTACGGGGCGAGCATGTTTGGGAAATTGGGATGAGGACGAGGATTGCTTTGGTCCTTTGGAGGAGAAAGGAAATATGAATACATAGAAGAAGATCTAAATTACAAGAGCCCTTCGCTCCTTGAGATGATCCCTATTCACAATATCTACTATATTAAAATAGAGTTATTCTTTTTATCTAATGATACAAGTTGTCATTTAAATTTGGATCATTTTTACAAATATGTAACACAAGCCATATAATTAATTGAATCGCATTACTTAAATTAAACCGATTGTTATTTATGGGATATAGTCTTGAACTTACTTTTATTTTTAGAACGAATTATATAGTTTGGGCTTAGTATTAAGAAAAAACTCCAAAAAACATTGAATAAACTTTCCACCATAATAGATCAAAAAATCAATTATTAATTTTAGGCCCAAAATGTATTTAATTTTTTTAACAAAACAAAATTGTCTATTATTAATCATTTATTTAAATCATGTACTTTAAAACATGTTAATGTATTTTTTATTTTAAATAACAATCACTTTATTTTGATAAATTTCAATGGTAACTTTTAAATAATTTATCGTTTTATTTTTATTAAATAATTTACTGATTTTAAAAAATGTAAAGCAAAACCAAAAACCAAATCTAAAAACAAAAATCAAAACCAAAAGTTGAAAACACAAGTTATATTTTTTTTCTTTTGTTTATTTAAAAAATATAGTATTACAAATTTTTTTGTCATCTTTTCAGTTTTAAATTAGATATTCGATTATTTAGGATTTGTTTGTTGGTAATATCAGTTCAAACTAAGTAAACGGGTCTAAAAATTAAAAACACAAACCAAAAGCTGAAAATCAAAAGTAGAAACTTAAAAACTAAAAACCTAAAACAAAATCTAAAAATAAAAACTGAAACTAAAAACTAATGAAAAACAATCATCACCACAAATTTTGGTGAACTGATTTTATACCAAAACATTGTTTAAATTAAGACAAAACTCAATTATATAAATTTTTAATCATAATAAATTTCCGCGCTTTCAAGCGCGGGTCAAAATCTAGTTATACTTAAGAACAAACAAACTTAAGCATGAATACTTCATTTCCCTTAATATATACACATGTAACATTCTATTAGTTAGTATTAAAAGTGAAAATAATAAAACATATTTAGTTCAGAAGTCTTACACCCCAAAATCAAATAGATTAACTAGATAACAATAAACACTTCATTAAAGATAAAATCAACTATAAAATGTTTAATATAAAAAAAAAACTAAAACACTAATTATATTCAGATTTTAATTTCGAAATATATTCAAGATTCTAAAATATAATCCTTAAATACAAACATTACTTGAACATATATTATCAAATCCTAACCAATATTATGAGTTGCAATCTATATATATATTTATTTATGTGGAAAATAATTCATTTTATTAAGTTTAAATTTACATGATTTGAGTTGTTTATAGTTACATCATTTCAATTTATTTTTTCCTTAGAGTACTTTTAAAAAAAAAATCTAAAATTAATTTTAAAATAACGCACATGGAAATAATTTATTGTCTTATTAAGAAAACTTGTGATGGCTATAATCGTAAAAATGTTTACACGGTTTTTATTTGGTCATAATAGTAGTTGTAATTTCACTATCATTTTAAGTTACTTTTCAGTTAACTGAAATAAAGATATTTATATTAAAATTAAGTTTTGGATCATTTTTACCAAATTGTTCGAGGAAAAAAATTGTAGTTTCTCACATATGAACCCAAACAACTTTTTAAGAAACTAGTTCTAAATTTTTTTTTTATTATAAGTGCTATGCCAATTTTGTAATATAATGTCATTTTTGACCAATTTATTTTATTAATATTAATTTGAAAGCTTAAATGAATTTGTAAACAATGACATGCTCTTAAAGACCTTAGCTCATAAGTATAATGACGTACGCAGTGGCCTAAGCATTTTGTAAAACCTAATATAGAATTTCAGTTCTTGTTGAATTAAATTAACAATAGTTGTTGACAAAGAAAACATTATCTCTACAGTAAAGAATAATGGTATGAAAAAGCTACAAAGCATTTATTACTCTCAAGTTTTGATCAACATCTTGATTATTACAACTTACAAGACTAGCCAAGAATGGCTGATGAGGTGATTCTTTTAGATTTCTGGCCAAGTGGATTCGGTGTAAGAGCGAGGATCGCACTAAGAGAGAAAGGAGTCGAGTTTGAGTACAGAGAAGAGATTCTGAGGGACAAGAGCCCTTTGCTACTCCAAATGAATCCTGTTCACAAGAAGATTCCGGTTCTCATCCATAACGGTTTACCGGTTTGTGAATCCATGAACATAGTCCAGTACATAGACGAGGTCTGGTCCGACAAGAACCCATTACTCCCTTCAAATCCTTACCAAAGAGCTCAAGCCAGGTTCTGGGTTGATTTCATCGATACCAAGGTACCAATCCAAGCTCTATTTTTGTTATTTTCGAGATAATATCTGAAGTTGAGACCAGTTTGGTTCTCTAGGTTTTCGAGCCAGCGGATAAGATATGGTCAACAAAAGGAGAGGTACAAGAGAAGGCCAAGAAAGAGTATATTGAAGCACTCAAGATTCTTGAATCTGAGCTTGGAGACAAGCCCTTCTTTGGAGGAGATATCTTTGGTTTCGTAGACATTTCCATGACTGGTTATTACATGTGGTTCGAAGCATTTGAGAAATGCGGTAACTTCAGCATTGAACCAGAGTGTCCAACACTTATGGCTTCAGCCAAGAGGTGTTTGCAGAGAGACAGCGTGGTTAAATCTGTCCCTGACCCTGAGAAGATCGTTGAGTTCGCCTTTAAGATTCGCAAGATATATTGTGTCTGAAATGCTTTTTTTAGTTTTCACCTTTGGTTTGTGAATTGATTCCATCTCACGTTCTGTGTTCTATGTTTAGTTTCTGTTTATGTCTTTGTCAGTTTTGAATAATATTCACATTCTTCTCGCTTAAGAATAGGGTTCCTCAGTCTAAACGCGGTTCATTTGTTCTTCTCTATTATAAAAAAAGTTGGAAAAGAAACAGTTTATGCAATGTGATGTAACAGATAATCATCTTTTCACCTTTAGTTTGTGAATTTATTCCATCTCACGTTCTGTGTTCTCTGTTTTTTTTTTCACTAAAGAATATAAATTTTTTATTGACTTAAGTATATCTATGGACGTTCGGATGTTCAATCAGTTTTATTTTATTTTCGGAGATATGAAATTTAGTTCCATATAAATATATTAATTCAAAGTTTGTTTCGATTTAGTTAAGGTTTCCTCAGGTTTATAGTAAGACATTACAAAACTCAGTCGAACCATTTTATTTGAATTTGATTCTAATTCGGATTTTAGTTATTCAACTATTTGTTTGTGACACAAAAATATATATTTCAGTTCACAAACTTGGAAAATAGTCAAGTTTAAACAATTTAGACTAATAAAAATTTGTGACGTGATTTAGAAATGATTGCTAAGAGAAAGTAAACCTAAACCATTTAAAATTAGCAACTGACAATTATACCAACTTAGTAAATATTATTTAAACTTCAAACTAAAGAAACCTTGTTTAAATTTCATAACCAAACTTAAAATGCAATTGTAAAAACCTAAATACTCAATATTTAATTAAATAACAAAATATATATTAAATTAAATATTTGAGTTAACTATTCATGTGACAAATTTATTGATGTCCTAAATACTCAATATTTAATTAAATAACAAAATATATATTAAATTAAATATTTGAGTTAACTATTCATGTGACAAATTTATTGATGTGCTTATTGGGATTTAAATATTTTGGTATTTATTCAAGATTGGATTTTAGTTTGTAATTTTTTAAAATATCCGCAATATCATAAAATAAGATCTATATAGATGTTTATGTCAGATTTAGTTCCATTCAGTTTTATTCCTTTGGGTCGATATTGTTTGAATTTTCGGGTTTTGCTTTTTTTGTCCACCTTTACTCAAAAATATTGTTCCGCAGTTTAAAGAGAGGTTCATTCAGTGTTGTCATGCCAAATTGAGTGGCCTAAAACCTGTTTTCTTAACGGTGGCCTATGTTTAATTGTAAAGTCTTTTTATATACAAATATGTAAAATATTTTATTTTTATATGCCGAAATTTTGATGATTATTAAACTATTGGTTGATATTTTGGTTATAATATATTCTTTCAACAATTAAGTGATTATTGTTTTGTTACTTTTTCTTTAAGCCAATCAATTATATTAACCTTTTAAAAATGTGGCCAAATAAATTGGAAATAATTTGTGGCCTAAAACTCAAGCTTGATTTTTGCTTTATGATAAGGACAGCCCTAGTTCCATTTATTCCTACCTTACGTAAATAGTTGGAAATGAAAAGTTTATGGAGAATTTGATTCCAAAACAAATGTTCTTGGCTCTATAACTACCCACCCAAACTATCAGACTCTCTTCTTCACCAACAACTAAAGATGGCGGAAGAGGTTGTTCTGTTGGACTACTGGGCTAGCATGTTTGGAATGAGGGTGAGGATTGCTCTAGAGGAGAAAGGAGTCAAATATGAATACAGAGAAGAAGATCTGAGTAACAAGAGCCCTTTGCTTCTTGAAATGAACCCTATTCACAAGAAAATCCCTGTTTTGATTCACAATGGCAAACCGATCTGCGAGTCCATCATCCAGGTTCAGTATATCGATGAAGTCTGGCCTGATAGAAACCCCATTCTCCCTTCTGATCCTTACCAGAGAGCTCAGGCCAGGTTCTGGTCAGATTACATCGACAAGAAGGTTTACTTTCAGTCCCTTTTGGTTATTTGAGTTAGTTGAATAATAATTACTTGCATACACTTAGTCTTTTATGCTTTTGTATATACACATAAAAGGCCCGTTCTAATGAAGCATTACCCTAAAACTTTTAAAAATCTATTAAACTTTTGACTAATATGTCTATAACCCCATAATTTATGAACCGATTTTGTATGCAAAAAAAAAACAATACTATATTTAACTTACATTAGAATATTATACTTAAGAATAAACAACCATAAGTTGAAATATTTAATTTCCCTTATTATATTCACATGAAAACATTGTATTTGTTAGCATCAAAAAATGAAATAATTTTGTGTTGCTAATTTGTATGGGATCAGACGGCCGGACCATGCAAGGCTTTACAAAGAGAAACAGGGGAGAAACAGGAGGCAGCAAAGATAGAATTCATGGAAGTACTCAAGACCCTTGACTCGGAGCTAGGAGACAAATCTTTCTTCGGAGGAAACGTGTTTGGTCTCGTGGACATTGCCTTTATAGGATTCTACAGTTGGTTTCATACGTACGAGGAGGTGGCAAACTTCAGCATCGTGGCAGAGTTTCCTAAACTAATCGCTTGGGCAGAGAGGTGTTTGAAGAGAGAAAGTGTGGCTAAAGTCTTGCCTGACTCAGGTAAGGTGCTTAAGTCAGTCTCTGACTATCGGAAGAAGATTTTAGGAATCAACTAGATTCATCTACAGAACTTCCCTCTGTTTCTCTTTATCGAATTTTAAAATATGGTGTTTGAGATGCAAAAATAAATTTGAAACTAAAATAAAGTTAGTTCCTTAACAATCATAAGCGTTAGTTCCTTAACAATCATAAGCGTTAGTTCCTTAACAATCATAAGCTTGACAGTGATCATATTCATCTCCTTGTTATATCAATTTGGATACAATTATTTTCTGGTTCTCTTTTTCAAATCGGATATTTAATGTTTTTGTTTGATGGTTCGTTGGTGAGAGAAGATAACTCGCTTTACAAGATGAGAGACGCACAAGAGTATCTTCAAATTGATGAGAAACACACAAAGCAAGGTTCAATTCGATGGCAGACTTTGAAATCATTAACCCACAGAAAGGCACAACAAAAGAAAATCAAGCAAGATAAAAAAAAAAAAGATGATTGATGGTTCAGACTTTCCTGAAATTATGATGGATGAATTAAAAAGCAAATCGGGAAGCGACGACCTAGGAAACATATGGACGAAAGAAAAAGAAAAAAAGTTTCAAACCCTAGAAACTTAAGCAGTTCACTCGAAAGATTTTTGTTACTGCTGTTCCTCGGTCGGTTTTGGAGCTGATGCTTCCTTGATCTCATCCGCAGCATCATCCTAGTAAAGATCATCCACCAAAGATGGAATATGATTAGCCCATGAAACTGCGATAATAGAAGAAGTTTTTGAAAGGGAAACATACCTGCATGTCGGATGTCCAGAGAGTGAGGTTGTCACGGAGAAGCTGCATGATCAAGGTGCTGTCTTTGTATGACTCTTCTCCTAGAGTGTCTAACTCTGCTATCGCGTCATCAAAGGCCTTCATGATACATATACAACAACAAGGACAAGAAAAGATTACGTCTTTTGCAAAGTGTTTAGATGAGGAAAACAATATAATAACAGCAAAGTCGAGTGGATCTATGTGACATTGAGCAAGGCAAGTGCTTATTCAAGGATGGTGATCACTTGATAGATTAGCAGATTCAAAACTCAAAAGTACCTGTTTGGCGAGGCTGCAGGCACGATCAGGAGAGTTAAGGATCTCGTAGTAGAACACAGAGAAGTTCAATGCCAGACCTAGACGGATTGGGTGAGTTGGTGCAAGCTCTGCATTCGCAATATCCTGTGAAAGAGAGTCACACACAAAAGCTCAAAATCGAAACCAAGGCAAGCTCAAAGATACCCAACGAAACATTACATGAAGGGTTATGAATTCCACGAATCACAACTTAGATTGACGAAACCAAAGCAAGCTCAAAGATCCCTATTAAAATTGAATCTTAATCCACATAGCAAAACACACAGACTTATGAATCCACGAATCGCAACTTAGATACAAAGCAAAGCAACCTCAAAGCTCAAAGATCCCTACAACAATAGAATCTAATCCACGACGCAACTCAATACATTAACGCTTATGACTCAACGAATCGAAACTTAGATACAAAGCAAGGCAAGCTCAAATATCCCTAAAACAATTGAATCTAATCAACAAAGTAAAACATTCAGGCTTATGAATCAACGAATCGCAACTTAGATACAAAGCAAGGCAACCTCAAAACTCAAAGATCCCTAAAACAACTGAATCTAATAAACAAAGCAATACATTAAGGCTTACCAATCCACGAATCACAAAATAGATCGAAACCAAATCAACCTCAAAAATCCTGTTAACGCTAATCCCTAAATCAATCAAATCTAATCAACAAAGCAATACATAAAGGCTTACAAATCCACAAATCACAACATAGATCGCAAACCAAGGCAAGCTCAAAGATCCCTAAATCAATCCAATCTAATCCACAAAGCAATACATTAACCAAGGCAAGCTCAACGATCTTATTCACATCCAAACTATTCTAAACGATCCAAATCCCTAAATCAATCAAATCCAATCAAACGAATGCTTATAAGTCCACGAATCACCATCGCAGCTTAGATCTAGAGATAACCTGAGCAGCTTTGTAAGCGGAGAGAGTATTCTCAGCGGCGTCTTTCCTCTCCTGACCAGTCTTAAACTCAGCCAAGTACCTATGATAATCCCCCTTCATCTTCAGATAAAACACCTTCGAGTCACCACTCCCAGCGGCAGGCACGAGCCTCGAATCGAGCAGCTTAAGGATCCCCTCGCAGATCCCCGAGAGCTCCGTCTCGATCTTAGATCTGTAGTCTCGGATCGCCGCCACGTGGTCGTCGTTGCCGCGGCTCTCTTCCTTCTGCTCGATCGAGGAGATGATGCGCCACGAGGCACGGCGAGCGCCGATCACGTTCTTGTAAGCCACGGAGAGGAGGTTTCGCTCCTCCACGGTGAGTTCGTCGCCGTCGACGGCGGCGGAGACTTTCTCCATGAACTCGACCATCTCTTCGTAGCGCTCGGCTTGCTCGGCGAGCTTGGCCATGTACACGAACTCCTCACGCGCGGAAACGGCCATTGTTGTTTCTTGAGAGAGAGATCTGATGTGATTGATTGATTGTTGAGGAGAGTTGGATTCGAGAATTCGTTGTGTAGGTCAAAAGTGAGAGGGAACGCGATAAATGCGTTGGGTGGAACTTCTTGGGAACCAAGATTGAATATGGGCCGTTGGATTCGCCCTTCTCTGTTTTCTTGGGCCTGTTTGGTGGTATTTTAGAAAAATGTGTGGTGAGCATGTAAGAGTATTCCAAATGACTATTTCTAGGATTCTCAGTTATAGAAATATACATGTTTTAGAAAAGAAAAAAAATTCACAAAAAAAAATATTTTTATATTTAAAAAAACTTAATTGTCAACTAAAAATGAATATTAAAAAAATTAATTTTATTTACTTTTTCTTCGTTAAAAAGTAACTAATCACAAAAAAATGTATTATATTTAAAATTAAATATGTTATTTTAATATTTGGGGAAACGGTAAAATATTATTTTGAAGCAGAAGGAGAGTAAATATGTAGTTCAAAGAGTTGTACGAAAACCTTTTTTTGGCGTAGATTACTAAGAACAAGATTATTGGGATTTTTATGAGGATTCTTAAGAGGATGGATCCCGCAAAAGGAAGAAAGATTTTAACCTAGGATTAGTTTTGTTTTTAAAAAAAAGAAAAAAGACTTAAGAATCCTATGAGGAAATCCTAGGGATAATGTTACTCTAAGAATATGATTTGATTTCTCTTTACGGTTTTCTTTATTATATTCATCCAACACTTATCCTTATCAATGATAATATTTTCTGGTATCTTACTTTTTCGTTAAGTTGTTTCATTTTTCTGGTCATATAGAATCTTTTTGGTAATAGCTTTAGCCAACCGTGAACAGAGTTATCCCACAGTGAGGTCCAAAGAGGAGTAGACCTTGGAAGGCTCGAAAGCAAAGTGAAGGCAAATGCCCCAATACCATCTCAAACGCTTGGAAAAGACATTAAGAGCATCATGAATCGTTTAAGGTTATCAAAGAAATTAGATAATAGATATTCCGACATTCTCTTATTTGGGTTTGTTAGTATAGTAGATGCTAGTTGATTTCTTTGTAAAGTGTACCAACAAATAGATTATGATGCATATTAGATTCCAAATGGTTTTCGATGAATATAATTTACATTCATTCAAAAAGAAAAAGAAAAGTAAAGACAAATGTTGGACGAAATTGAACATAGTACATAAACCTCGTGGACCATTTCTTCCAAAAAAAATAATATTAACATTCAAAGATCCGACCAAGCAGCAAATCAAAACGAAACACTCTCACCACTATTTATCTCACATCTCAGAATTCCAGCAGATACTATACTAGATGTAATAAGAATCTCCAGTTACCCAAAAGTGTTTCCTTTGAAAAGTATGATACTTTAGTCCCACAATCATAATGATCTAAACTGGTGAAGGAAATTCATAATTTAATCTCCTAAAAGCCAAACACTAACTCCATCTTCCTCTTTGAGCTTACAAACATTAATCTAAGGTACACAAATTCATGTAGCATAAACGGCTTTGTTTTCACATAGAACATGTGCACATTAAGTCATAAACATACTTGAGTTTATCTCGTAAATCATATGAATAACCTACAATAACAACACAAAAGTAAACTAGCAGTACAATATAAGCTACACAATTATACTTTATGAATATTTCTTATACATATTCCAAATTCGTGCATGAAGATTTTTGTTCCGTGTACGCATTTCTCAATTCCCCCACGTACTTCATTCAATGAAAGCCTTTTTTTTTAAATTAAAAGTATTTCATTCATAATATTTGTTTCTTTAAATTGGTGTATGATATTTGATGTGAACAAAACTAAACTGTACTACTAATGTCATATTGGAGTAAAAGATTTTTTAGGGCAGGAATAGTAGTTGGCAACTTAAAATTCCCACCGCAATTAACACGTGTCAAATTCTCCATCGATCCTTCATCACACAAACATACAAACAAGGAAAGTCAAAAGCAGTGACTCTGTTCCAAAAGCAAAACAGGTTCCCAAGAAGATCAAATCAAAGAAAAAATGTGTGATCGATCTTTAATCTCTTTGCATTATTATTACATCACTTCCTAAATTTCCGTTCTAATACTTCCAAAACTTTGTTCCTTTTTGGCTAAGTAATCTCTCTTCAATTAATTTAATTGGTTCTTCAGCTTTTCTGAACAAGAACAGAGTAGCTCTGTCTGGATTCCACTTCTCTCTCTCTCAGATTCTCTTACATATACATATACACACGTGTGTTTGATTGCTTTATCTCTTCCCTTGTCCCTAAAAAGTGATACTCCTTTAGAGAAGAAGCTTTGTTGTTGTTGTTGTTGTGTTGCAGAACATGGAGAGGTATGATATAGTGAAGGATATTGGGTCTGGTAACTTCGGAGTGGCAAAGCTTGTTCGTGACAAAGTTTCTAAAGAGCTTTTCGCTATTAAGTTCATAGAGAGAGGCCATAAGGTATGTCCTCTCATTCACTCTCGTCCAACTCTTTATGTGAGTTATGGTTTAATTATATATTTTTATTTGTATGTGTGTTATGAAGATTGATGAGCATGTACAAAGAGAAATCATGAACCACAGGTCACTCAACCATCCCAACATAATAAGATTCAAGGAGGTATACACAACCATGTGTTTTTTTCTTTGGTTAATTTAAATTAATTCTTCATAGATTACATAATTTTATTTTCTTGTTTTATAATAAGGTTTTGTTGACGGCAACACATTTGGCTATAGTAATGGAATACGCCGCCGGAGGAGAACTCTTTGAAAGAATCTGTAGCGCCGGAAGATTTGGCGAAGATGAGGTCACTCTTTTATTCGCTATAATTATTTATTAATCATCATTATCCAAATAAACATTGTTTTATAAAAATAAATAAAATTTTCAGGCAAGATTTTTCTTCCAGCAGCTAATATCAGGAGTTAGCTACTGTCATAGTCTTGTAAGAGAATAATTCATTTAAATTGATAAAAACATGTTTTCACATTTTGCTTTTTGTAATGAATTTAAAAGTGTTTTTTCTTCTTTTAATTGATGAAATAAGCAAATATGCCATAGAGATCTAAAGCTAGAGAACACGCTGTTAGATGGAAGTACAGCACCACGTGTAAAGATATGTGATTTTGGATACTCAAAGTCAGGAGTTCTTCACTCTCAACCAAAGACAACAGTAGGAACACCTGCTTACATTGCACCTGAAGTCCTTTCTAAAAGAGAATATGATGGCAAGATCGCTGATGTCTGGTCCTGTGGTGTCACTTTGTATGTAATGCTCGTTGGTGCTTACCCTTTTGAGGACCCTTCTGACCCTAAAGATTTTCGTAAAACCATCGGTCGGATTCTGAGATCGCAGTACTCTATTCCTGACTATGTCCGAGTTTCTGATCTATGCAAACATCTTCTCTCTCGAATATTCGTGGCCAACCCTGAAAAGGTAGAAAACATATAACCCATCCATTTAATATTAAATGTCATTTTAGATTTTGATTTTTATTTAAATATATATTGTTTTGAGTGCATTAATTTGACATATTTTCTGTTTTACCCATAGTTATTATTCTTTAATTAAGAAAAATAAACAATAAAATATATTGATTAAGAATAATTTTCCATATTTCTTATTCTTCAATTAAGAAAAATAAAATAATATTACATTACGATTAAGAATAATATTTAAAAAATATTTTTTTTTCTTAATATGCAAAAATAATATTTTCATAATATGAAACGAAATGAGTACTATATTGGTTTTGAATTTTTAGTTTTGGTTCCAACTAATATTGGTGTACAGAGAATAACCATGGAGGAGATCAAGAATCATTCTTGGTTTCTCAAGAATTTGCCGGTTGATATGTCGGGAGCATCATCGAGAAGGAATGATCCGTCTCAGACAGAGGAAGAGATAGTGTGGATCATTGAGGAAGCTCGGAAAGCGATCACTGGAGCTTCTGGACTCTCTGGTGCTGGTGGCTCTGGTGAAAGCAGTAGTGGTGCTATTGGAAGTAGTATGGATCTTGATGACTTGGATGTGGATTATGACGATGATATCGACACTGGTGATTTCGTTGGCACCTTGTGACCATTTTTATCATTCGCATTACCAAAAGGAGATTTCATGAGAGTTGCACAAACGTGATTGTAATGTTCTATATAGCTTGGATTGATTATTTTAAACGCAATGGTTGAATTTTATGTTGATGTAGTGATTTGGCTCAAATATGGGGGTTAAGAGCTTTGTGGACTTATATCTTTGTAAATTTTTTATTTGACTTTTTGGGATCATCAGTAAGTTATCGACATAAAATGTCTATCGTGTGAAGGTTGTTTGAATGAAAATTAAAATATTATAAAATCAAAAATTAAACTATACACTTGCAGTGATCCATACATTTTTTGTTTCTCACTTGGATTGTATAATTGTATATGTTGAAACTCCAAATAAAACTCAGAAGATAAAAAGATTAGGAGCACTGAAGCAGGAATACGAATCATATAGCATAAAGTTGAAATTATTAGAATAAAACGAATAAGAAGAATGTGAAGGACTCTGGATTTACATATAGATTCCGCCAGAACCAAAAAACAGAGAAAAACTATGACAAGAGTATTATAAAGAGATACTTTTGGCAGCCTGGAGTGGCCTTCTTGGGGCTCAAGTCATAGCTCTGGAGAAATAAATGAATTAGTTGTTTTCTTTTCTTTCTTGAATCACTTAAGAGAGAGACAAATGTGAAGATTGTACAAATTGGGAAAATGCAAGATATCAAGAAGAAGTGGGTTCTTTGTTGTTACTGGATGTACTTTCAGGTGCAGTTGTTGCTTCAACTTCTGCTGATACTTGTTGTGGTGCTTCAGATTCTGGGGAAGACAGAAAATACAATAAACCAAAAAGTAGTTAGACCTTAGGGCATTTTTACTGGAGACTTCTATGATAGAATTTTTAACATGATTTGATTTTTTTTTTATATGTTTTGGTTAAAAGCCAGACTCTAAAATATACCACTCTAAAAACCTCCAAGCCTTAAGAGCATGATTAACCCCGGTTCTTAAGACGGAGTTATTAGCGGAAACTAAGAAACTGTTTCTTAATTTTTAATTAAAAACGCTTAGAACCAACTCTTAAATAAGGACTTTAAGAACCAGTTCTTATCGTTTTTAGTTAAAAGTTAAGAAACAGTTTCTTAACTTCCGTTAAAAACACCGTCTTAAGAACCGGGATTAATCATCGTCTTAGTCTGATTTATATGCATCGTAAGCGAAGTTTTTTACTCAAATAATAATAACTCTGATCATTAAACTGAAAAAGGTGACTAAAAGCAGTTGCAACGACCATTACTGGTTTAGACACAAATCCACACAAAAACACACACACAGACACACACTGTACAGAACATATATGTGTGTGCGGAGAGATGTTGACAGTGTGTGACTGTGTGGTGGCTTCACTGGCATGGCGACCAAATTGACAGATGATGGAGAAGACTCAGAAGAGACACATATACCAATGTAGTGAAAATAGACAGCTCATTCCACATGCATCCTTTATTCACTGTTCTTCTCCAATTATTAATTTTCATTTTCTTTTCTGTTTCTTCACCTATTTGGTTGAAACCCTTTTTTTTCTTATACAGTGCATAATTGATTGTTTTTTGTTTTTTTTTTTGCATAATTGATTTGTTTTCTTATGAAGTTTGGAACGACATTGAAAACCAATGTACGTGCATGAATGATCAAATGCAAAATTCCACTGATTTTTACAAATGCATAACTAATTTTTCAAGTGACTTTTTGTTGAAAAGCAGGGGCAACAAACCATATTTAGATAACTTTACTATGTCAGCAATATGTAAATATATATATATACACCATTTTTTAGAAGTGTCTTGAATTTTTATTATCATTTTTCTTTAACATAAAAACTAATTAGCAATGGATAAATTAGTTCTTGTCACTTTTCTGTCTTACTCTAAGCTGCGTCTTATTTAAAATGTAATAATATTAAAAGAAGGTAAATACGCACCTGTGGAAGAAGAGAGTAGTCCTTGGAGAGGAGGTGCAAAAGATGTACTATTGGATGGGTAAACGAGGAAAGAAGGAGATGTAACCCGTTGATGAAGTTGTTGTTGAGGGTTATATGGTTGAGGAAGGTGATGATGGTGTTGGTATGGCACTCTAGGAGCTTGAAGAGAATAGCCGTAATAGTAAGGAGAAGGCATTATGCCTGCGGCTGCTGATGATGGTGATGTTGCTCCTCCTCCATATAGTTGTTGCTGCTGTTGATAGTACTGCGCTTGTTGCAACTGTGTGTTGTACAGTGCCTGCAGCATTTGTATACAACTTGATCATCATATGTGTTCCAACAAACATGCATGTGCTAATGTTTTTCATGCATTATGTAAGTGGTCGACATGTGCAGGAGACCTTGTACGTTAAATCCCATTATTAATTTCATATCTTGCATTTCATGATTTAATTCGTTTTTGCTTCATGTTTATGTATGTGTATGTCAGTGTATATATGTCATAAGAATGTAGGGGAGAGAAAGAGAAACTGACTTGGTGGTACCCGAATTGATCAGGGTTATAGGTGTACCTGAAAAAAACAAAGAATTCAATGTTCCTTAATTTATAACAAAAATAAGAAATTATACTTGTTAATTATTGTATTTGAAACACTATAGTATAAAACACTTTCTAATTCGCATCTTCTTTTAGTATTACCTTCTTGCACGATAAGGCTTTCTTAACTTCCACAGGACTTATTTTTACAATATTTATGTTATGATATATACAGCCTGACAACAAGTGGCTCGATTGACGCCTTAAATTGTCTCCTACCATTTCTATCGCATTGGACCATCTCCTTAGCTATGCAAAACATTTAAATTATCTCCTAAACTATGTACACAAGCTTTTGAATTATTGAAGCCAGTCATTAAAGAATAAATAAATATAACTCACCCATAGGACGGATACATGAGCTGGTGGGCAGCTGCAGCCGGTGGCAGCGGTGCAGCCATCCCCGTATATGCTGATGGTCCTCCACTTTGGTAATGGCTCGGACTTCCTGTTTGTCCTCGACCTATAATGAAAGAACAGACACAAAACATCTATTATGGGATTCACAAGTACTTTAGAATTCAAAACTACGATTGTATGATATTTCTCTAATTTTCTTAGAAAGCTTTTTCTTAAGACCTTGTTCTCAAAATTGGATATGATTGATTAGTCACGTTTTTGTTGTATGTTTACACTACGCACATAACATCATTGAACAATGTACTTATTCTAATGATTTCAACGGTTACAGCTAATCTCGTTAACGTTACATGATAAAAGACAGCAACAAATTGATAACGTACCATATTAATAAGCAAAGATAAAATTAGCAAAACTCATCAAATAAGATATTAATCATCAACAACAAAAAGAACAACATTATACGGTTTTAGTTTTAAGTTTATAATAAACAAACCTCGAGGTGGAGATGGTCGAGGCCGTCCAAAAGAAGCAATATTACAATTAGCTTTTCTTCCGTCGATCACTGGATTAGGATCAGCCACGGCTCTGGTCGCAGAATCAGCCTCACGGAACGTGACCTAAATAACGAAAATAAGCCCTTTTAGTCATCATCAGATAGAGTGTGAGGATCAAGAAAAGGAACTTACGAAACCGTAGCCTTTAGATTTGCCGGTGTTTTTATCGGTGATGATGACAGCTTCAAGAATCTCTCCGAACTGGTCGAAGTAACGACGCATTTCATCGGTGGGAGTTTCCCATGCTAGTCCTCCAACGAACACTTTGGTGTAAGTCGTGTCTCCGAACGGTGATCGGTAATAACTCGTTTGATACATTTGTTTTTTATATCATCAAATGTTGTTTTTGGTTGGGCAGAGAGAAGTGATGAGACCAATCAAAAGGTTCAATTTGCAACCCTTGAAACGGTGTCGTGTTGACTCAGATTCTACACATACACGGGAGAGAGAAAGAAGAGAGAGAATGAATAAAATTGCTTTGAGATAGAAAAGTGATTAGAGGGTTTTGTAAGGAGAGAGAGAGAGAATCTGACAAGACAGCACTTGAGTATATCTCCGCTGTCTAATTTGCCAGGTTTGAACATTATAGCTCCTCCACAACTTTTCTTCTCTATTTTATATAATTAGAGAAATCTTCTTTTTGATTATAGCGACGTTCTTCTTGCGTATTTGATCAATATGTAACATAGTTCTTTTTTATATGTAACACCAGTTTTAATTCTCTGTTCACTATACTAAATATCATAATATATACTATTTACTTATACTGTAAATTGTTATTGATCTCTATTTGGGTGTAATAAGAAGTATAATCCATTTTTTTCAAAAAAGAAGAAGTATAATCCAGTGTCGATTTAAAGAATCTCAATTATTTTAAGTATGTTATTAGTAGTGTTAGATCCGGGTTTATTATGGGCTTCCAACTTAAAACCAATTGGTGATTAGTGGATTGGCTCCAACCCTTTATATAGTAGTAGATTAATTCTTATATTTCCGATGTGGGATGTTTCTCATCAATACCCTTCCTCACGCTCAGACATCTCTAGGTCTGAAGCGTGGACAATGTGGGAATAACATCCACAGAGGGCCCAACATCGGTATAGTAGTAGTTGTAGTAAATTAGGTCAAAGGATCTTATCGCTCTGATACCATGTTAGATTCGGGTTTATTATGGGCTTCCAACTTAAAACCAATTGGTAATTAGTGGATTGGCTCCAACCCTTTATATAGTAGTAGATTAATTCTTATATTTCCGATGTGGGATGTTTCTCATCAATACCCTCCCTCACGCTCAGACATCTCTAGGACTGAAGCGTGGACAATGTGGGAATAACATTCACAGAGGGCCCAACATCGGTATAGTAGTAGTTGTAGTAAATTGGGTCAAAGGATATTATCGCTCTGATACCATGTTAGATTCGGGTTTATTATGGGCTTCCAACTTAAAACCAATTGGTGATTAGTGGATTGGCTCCAACCCTTTATATAGTAGTAGATTAATTCTTATATTTCCGATGTGGGATGTTTCTCATCAATAAGTAGTAAACTTATAAATGTTAATACAGAATTTTACGTTATTCAGTCAAGGATTTAGAAGGAAATATATATAGATATATAATTATAATATAATATCTCCTTAATAGAAATGAAATTATTACTTTGATTTTCATATTTATAGTAAAAGTATTAGCTGATTAGGGAAATATCTAGAGTAATAAAAGTCTTTTCTCAAAAAAAAAAAATCTAGGATAATAATTCTCAATTTAGTACTGTACATTTAGTAATTTGCGGATCATGTCAGATTACAGTTGTGTTGTAAGTTCAAGGATACGATCTGCGTTAAAACACATGTTATTCTTTTAACAAAATTTTAAAAAATAGTTTTTTTTTACAATTTAACATAGGTTATGTTTTTATATAAAATTAAAACATTTATTATTTCAGTTTAGAAAATTTGTAAACCATCTTTGTTTGTAATATTTCAACTTTATAATTTTAATTGTGTAATTCGCGATTTCATTTTCTATTATTAATTCCAGATTTTTTTAACAGACCGATTTACTAATTATATAGATAAATACTTTAACTTACATTTTCGGATCAATTTTTAGACATATGAAACATATTATTCTTTTTAATGACTCGTTGAAAGTTTTCATGATTTCTTAAACAATTGAAATAAGTCTAGTATTTAAGAACTTTAATAATTATATAATGGTAAGTGGCTTACCATTGAAAAAGTGTATTTTATATCTTACTATAAAATTGATATTTTACATAATTTATATGATGAAAGATTATTTAGAAGCTTTTTGATATAAATTTATATAGAATATGCTATAGAATTTAATTTGATAGTTTAGAATATTTGTGACAAAATATAATATAGTAATTTTTGTTACATCTCCTAAATTTTAATATATCAATACACAAAAAAATCATTAATCCCAGTTTTTATGTTTGATTATAAGATATACATGTTACATGTATAATTGATATGGTTTAAGAAAACTGATTTCTTTCTTACATAAATGATAAATAAATATATATCTGAATTAAATATATATTTTTACAATCTGATTTCTTGGTACAGAGATATTATTATTATATTGAAATAGAGAAATTTATAATATATATATATATATATATATATCTCATTCCATATATATTTGTATGGCTTATTTCTATGTTATAAATTTGATAATTATATAAGATGTAGACATGAATATAAAGAAAAATTTAAAAATGCATACTTTCAAATCTGTATGTTTTGATATATATATGAATAGCATTATCTTATTAAAATTGAGAAAATGTAAGATAGTTTAATAACAACTAAGTATTAGTTTGAAATTTACAGGTTTTGATTGGCTATTATTCATATATATTTTTGAACTTATATTATTAGTGAGGTAAATTTTAATTGAACCGTTATAATTTTTTTGATAGTCCAAAACCATGTCGATGAAAAAGATTTTATTTTAATAGAACGGATATTTTGTTTTATCTATCTCATGGTCTCTTTTGAGCTGGTGGTCTCTTGTTATCTTTCTCCTGCTCAGCTATGTAGGTTTCTTGTGATACATCTATTGAAAATAGTTCAATTTTCTCAACACTGAATTTAATGTATATGATTTTACAATAAAAATTTAAATGCATATGCATATAAAAATTGAATAATGGAACTTGTTCCTTAGTATCACATGCTAACATGTACTTAACCTTCCCTTTAATCATTAGCTTACTGGAAAGTTATGAACAGACGAAAAAACCAGTCTGGATTTTAGAATTACATTCTTTCTGTTCTATACATTTTCCATACAATTCTACAATATCAATCCTCTTCTTTAGTTTCAATTATATTATGGGGCATAATTCTTGATCCGACAGTCATGATTTGGGTATATAAATCATAAAGAATGACATGTAGCTAACTGACAACCCGATCTTCACATTATATCAATACAATATGTTAGCTGCTGCACTCAATCATATTGTAAAAAACAATGTAAAGTGTATATGTGTGTATCAAATATCAAAGTATTTATTTAATGACTAAGCTAAACAGATTCTCTAGTGAGTTTTCATGATTAGTGGAAGTCCATTATTCTTTCCACCAAATCATGAGGAACTCAAAAAATAGACGAAGAGGGTCTCGACTTTCAAATAGATCCCTTTGACGATTTCTCATCCTCCATGGCTCCATGGTTACAACTTACAACTATGAAAACTATAATTTAATCATAATGATCATTGTAGTAAAAAGAAGATGATCATGTAGTCATTCTCCTTATTTAATTATCCAAATTCAGTGTCTAGTGCAGTATTAAATAGATGGTCTCATACTTATTTAATGCATCACATATGTGGTTTCAAGCCACGTTAGTTGGTGTATAGTCTAAATTTCACGTTCTTTAGATTAATATGAGACGACTTTTGCCAATAAAAACGATTATATTTAATGCTCGAATGACAAGTATGGCTTCTTTAAGAAAAGCATTTTCAAAAATTTACCTTTAGTGTGATTGATGAAATGGAAGTAAATTGGAGTAGATAAAATTAGAGGTATTGAGAATAAAAGAAATAGAGGTAGTGGGAGTAAAACTTTTACTCTTGTGAAAAGGTGAGAGATATATATTACTCTCCAAATCCACTGTACAATCCTTTATATTTTAATTGAAAATCATTGATAATCACGTGTCATCATTGTAATGCTTATCATATAACTTAAAGAAAAATATTGGTTCATACAAATATATAATATTTCTTTTATTAAACTAAACTAAGCATAAAATTATTATTAATACTAATCATTATTTTCTTAAATAAAATTTACGGAATTATCCATTATGGCTATAACATATATATGACAATTAATGATTTGAATTTAAAAGATTTGATAAAAAAATGTATAGCCTCTACTCTTTTTATTTAAATTATATTATGAAATAAATTAAACAATAACTTTAACTATATATATTAAAAAAAGCTTTTTATATATGTTATATTTTGAATTTTTAAAAATCACTATAGATTAGAATTTTTTTTTGAAATTTCACATATAATATTTTGATCAATAGTTTAAGTTTTTCTTGTTATAACACGATACAAACAATTACATAATTAATGAGTAAGAAATATCATGTAATATATATTTAAATTAGATATATATATATATATATATATATTAGTGATGTTTAAATTAAACTAATACCATTTAAAAATACATAACTATTTAATTCCAAAACTATATTGAACAAGTACTGAGAACTTAATACTTTAATGACAAACTTTGAATTTTTTTTTAAACGATGATAAATTACTGTAAATATTAAATCTCTCATATTAAAAAGAATGTTATCAATATTTTAAAATTTTTACATAAAAATATACAAATAATCATAAAACCATGTAAGTGTGAAACTTCATTTATTATATATACAAATTAAAATTATAATATATATATATATGTATGTTAATATAATTTATTAATTAGATTTACTTATATATAATTATTGTGAATAAACAAATGTGATTATTTTATTCTAATACTCACTAAATTAATTGTATATATAATGTTACAGATTTTTCAATTCAATTTATATATTTTTATTTTATAATATATAAAAAACACAAAATAAAGAATAAGACATAAAATAATTTATACATATAATTCTCATTCTGCGCATATAATTCTCATTCTGCGCAAATGCATGAATATTAACTTAGTATTATTTATTACACTTAACATTGTTTTTTACAATATGATTGAGCGCAGCAGCTAACATATTGTATTGATGTAATATGAAGATCGGGTTGTAAGTTAGCTACATGCCATTCTTTATGATTTATATACCCAAATCATGACTGTCGGATCAAGAATTATGCCCCATTGTATATTGAGAATAAACCACGGTTGTGGTAACCCAGATGATTAGTAGTTCAGTTGGTTTAAATATAAGTGTTGGTGTTGGTTTTATTGTGTTACTGGGTTTGATCTATTGTA